GAATACCGGGGTAGCGATGTGTAAAATAGCCAATCCTGGGCATGCGTAGGCAGCCAGGCATTGGCGCTGGCAATGCCACCCCCTTCCTTGCCTTGTGTGCTGGTGCTGTCTTGAATATAGCTGCTTTCTTGCAGCACTTTCCCCAAAAATCTCTATGGCTCTATGGTGGGGGGGGGGGGGGGAATCTTTGATGCGTTGCCTACCAAAAATGTAACAAACAAAAAAAACCCAGCAACGGTTAACAAAATCTACGTCAATCTCAAAAGACGAGTCTGCGGCAAGCATTTTTTTCTGCCACAAAAAAAACGAAGGTTTTGCTTTTCCTAGATTCATTTCAGGAGCGTCGTAGAAGAAACCAATCCCCCAAAATGACATTTGTGTCCGGGCGCTACTGCCTTGGCACCTGTGCAGTTCCTCGACATTGATGAACATCAAGGATGTTTCTTTGTGCGTACTTGTGCCTGTGAGCATGTGGGGAGCGGTCGTGTCGCGGTTAGCGCCCTGCGCTATGAACCCGGCGACCTGAGTTCGATTCCCGCTCAGGGCCAACGCCAGTGACGATTGTCTGAACCGGTCCTGGGCCTCCCCTTGGTCGACTCAGCCTCAAATGAGTAGCTGATGCGGTGTGTAAACATTGCCACTGGGGACACAAAGGTGGTCAGGAATGGTGCTGGCCACCCACCCCCTCGTATGCCGTGCCTGCATTTTTAATTGTGTGTATGTGTTCAAAGGCGTGTATTTCTGTGCGTGGGTTTGTGCGTGTGTTTACATTTTTGTTTTTGCGTGCACATAGGAATTCTTGTGCGCGCGAATAGCAGTGTGCGTGTGTGAGTGAGTGTGCACGTGAATAGGAGTGTGTGTGTGTGTGAATTTTCACGTGAATAGGAGTGTGTGTGTAAATGTGCGCGCGAATATGGGTTTGTGTGCGTGTGTGAGTGTGCATGCAAATAGGAGCGTGTGTGTGTTAGTGCGCGTGAATAGGAGTCTGTGTGTAAATGTGCACGCGAATATGAGTGTGTGTGTGCACGCCCATATAAGTGTGTGTTTGTGTGTGCACGTGAATAGGAGTGTGTGCATGTGTGTGCGCGAAAAGCAGTGTGTACGTGTATGAGTGTGCACACGAATAGGAGTGTGTGTGCGTATGCGAATAACAGTGTGTGCGTGTGTGAGTGTCCTCGCGAATATGAGTGTGTGCGTGTGTGTGCCCGCGAATAGGAGTGTGAGTGCGCCCACGAATAGGAGTGTGTGTGTGTGTGCGAGTGTGCGCGCTCAAGCCTTTGTGTGTGGGTTTTTTTGCCTGTAAGTGGGAAGGCGGAGTTGGCTCTTCCGTAATTGTTTATATTACCTGCCCTGATCCACCAGGTAACGCCTTCCCTGCCGCAATTATAGGATCTTGTGCCGGCTCCGAAACCGGCAAAGTGGTGGTGTCTGTTTCCCGAGCCGAGGGGACACCCACCGCTTTCTGCCGTACCGGCCCGCAGTCCGGGGTTTGCATTCACTGGAGGTTGGCTTTCATTTAAATGCACAATGACGACAACGACAACGACAACAATGACAACAACAACAAGGCGCTTCTGCCGAAGAGCAGGGGGTGTCTCTGGGGTCAGAGCAGCGAGCCGGCGCCGCTGTGATCCTGGGTCGGAATCTGGGTTTCGCTCGCCCGCCCGCGATTTTATACTTTTTATTATTTTTAAGGCCACGGTGTCGTTGACGAACGTGTTGAGTTTTATGTTATTTGTGCTTGTGCATCGCTGCCGCAGCAGCAGCAGCAGCATGATCGATACATTTTGCGATTCAACTGGGTTGTCCGGTGCAGCGAGCTAATGGTCCCTGTCTCGCCGTTTACTTTGTAAAAAAAATTTGAATTCCCATCACACTACGTTTGTTTTGTGCTATTAATTTAGCTGAATTCCAGGGCTGTGATCGGATTGCCGTGTGGACATTTCCCCTTGGCGTGATGAAAATTATCACTTGAAGGGTTCTCGGAAAGGAGCCGGGCGAAGTCTTCTTCTGCGGGCCGTTCTCTAACGCGGCGATAATGCGCCGAGATGTGAGGTTCTTCATAATCGAGGTTTTTGGTTTAGATCGCGTAAATATCAATGTGTCGTTAAGCCCACCACCACCCGACGCAGCCAATTAGTAATGTTGGCTGTGTCGGGTAGTGGCGGGTTTCATGACAAATTTATTATTAGTCGCGAAATTCTACTCGGTGTTACACTAACGGATTCTTCGTCGTGTCACGTGAAATTGAAAAACATATTTAAAAAAGAAAAACATGTCATTCCGCTATTCCGCTTACATTGCACGTGTGATATCGGAGCGCACGGATGCTTCTTGCCGACAGAGACCCGCGTCTCCTCATCAGAGAATGTCCCTGGGACATGACCACCATTGACCAACGTAATGCGCGTCTCCTGTTACTGAGCTCGCCAAACGCTCGAGCTTACGTTACGAATTAAGTCGCACGCTCACCACCGTTGCCGATCGCCCCGACGCGCACATTCATATAAAGGGGCAGCACTCGGAGATCTGGGCTAGGGGCTTTAATTAATCGAAAGAAAAATAAACCTCTCAGATTTTTTTGTTTTGCTGTCATTGGTAACTGGGCTGAGACCGCAGGCCCCCTGGGGCCCATGCCGTCCTCTTGGCGAGGGGCTGTCACGGACGCTGAACGTCGCGTCCCTCCCACATTACGACAACCCACAACACACTTAACTGCCATTATCATCATTGCCCGGTGTGGTGTGCCGTCCACGGTTAAGCGAAAGTAAATTCGTGAAATTGTTTTTGTTGTCACGAGTGGGGGTCGTCCCCCTGAACAGGACGATCTTGAAACAAATATGTCCGAGACTCCATTAGGATCCCTTGTAAATACATAAATAAAGGTGACAACTATTTCTTTTTTTTTTATACCAGGTAGAGCTCACAGAGCTGTGTAGCTCTTTTTCAGAAGCGATCTGGCCACAAATGATAGCTAAAAGAAGTGGCTTACGTGGAAATTTGTTAGCCAAATACTCTAAAACGCATGCTTCTTAATGTGGAGGGATGAACCAAAGGACCCGGAGGAAAATCCACGTGACCACGGGGAGAGCACACAAACTCCAAATATACAGGCGTCAGGGTGGGGATCGAACCCACGATCTCCTGTATACCAGGCGAGGTAGTTAACATCTCGCCACCGTGGCGCCCGTATATAATGCAACTGCTGTTTGTGGGGCCCTTGTTGGGTGAAGGCCTCCCCACGCCACGTCGCCCGCGGGGGTTGTGGACCACGCTTGCTCAGTGCTGGGAGGACGTCAGATTGGCTAGGATGTCCGCGCGCCACCGATTGCAGCCGTGGCTGGGAATCGAACTCCGGTTTCCCCGTGTTCACGTTGCAAATGAACTCTGCTTTTCCGGGTTTGCCGCGTGGTTCGCGAACCGCCTTGCCAACCACCGAATCGCATGCTGCGAATTATAATGATTTATCGAATCGCTTGGTGGGGGGGGGGAGGGATAGGGGTGAATAGTCACGTGTTCAGAATCTCAGGTACGCGCCCGTCCACCGTAAAAAAGTCGGTTGGCAAAAATAACACAAATTGTTTTCCTTAAGAGATGGCAGCGAGCGGCTCGCGAAGACGTGCACCCTCCCTCCTTCAGCTTGTTTATTATCACAGGGGATAAGGAGGAGAGCAGGCTCAGATTAAGCCAAGGAATGTGACTCGCTCTCTCTCCCCGGCACTATTTGCCTCCGAGCTTACATCTTGCCCGACTGGCAAACAAACGCCACCCACACCGACGACACCGCAACCCCCATTGTGGCCGCTGCCAGCCCCATTCTGCGTGGCGCTGACCCGAGCTTCGGTGCCGTGTTTTGAGGCGGTTCACATTGTTTCCGTCTTGACGTCTTGACGAGGGGCGGCGGCGGCGGCGGCTGCGTTGGTGGAGGTGGCGGTGTCAGCCTCAAAAAAAATAAAATTCTGCTGAATATTTACCATCCCCGCGATGGGTTTGGTTGCAGGTCACACAGTCACTCGGGGCTAAGAGAGCACTCAGCGCGTGCCTCCTCAAGGGCAGCTCAGCCTTAAATGGCCGCCTTTGCAAGGGCCACGCGTCGGTCAGCGCGGACACGGGTGGAGTCCACACTCCGGTGGTTGGCTTCCTTTAGATAAGCTCAGCCAAAAACGAGCGCTTCGTTATGGAATTTTCTCAAAATGAGCCCTTGCCTTTATCATACCTCTCTTTCCACCGTACGGTTGAGCCGCACCTGGGCCGCGCTGCTGAGCCAGCCCAGCGCGGCTCGCCAGATCGTGTTTTTTCCACTGCAGAAACCGAGCCGTGCCGCTGACGTAATGCGGAAGGAACGAGCCCAAGACGCGGCTCCGTGACGCGGTGACGGCCGTGCTTGAGTCGTTATGACTGACATCGCGTGCAACGAACGCGTCATGAGCCCCCTGGCCATGTTTTGCCCCCAAGCCAGATTCGGATGTCGTCTTGTGAGGCCAGCATAGCCACGGTTTGGTCCTGGATTGCTACGGCAAATGGCAAGCGGAAAAACAGCCGCACGGCACCGCTCGGATGTTCAGTGGAAAAGGTGTATTCGTGTTAAGAGGGATTACCACTAGGTCATCTCAGTCAAAAACGCAACCATTAAAAATGTGTGCAGAGAGTATAGGGTTTCATTCACAATGCGTGTAGTGAGTCGTGTGTGTAGGAGTTATTTATAATTTATTTACGTTTAATATACTACGTATGAAATTGGTTCACGTGATCCACGCTGCCACTGGGGGTCGCTACATTCGCCACTATTGAAAACAAAAACAATTGACAACTCATGAAATTTCTGCCAGCTAATCGGGTACTGGCGGACGAGAGGGATATTTTCGAACCCATTCACGTCACCGCAAGGTCGTGTTCACACTCGGTCAATACGCACGTCGCGTATTTTGCGTTGTTAACCGAGGCGGGGGGGGGGGAGCGGGGCCGTCCTTGTCTCACTGTGTTCCGGCGCGCGTGCGCAGGTTAACGAGATCGCCTTCATCAACACGCTGGAGGCTCAGAACCGCCGGCACGACGCTCTCTGCAAGCTCAAGGAGTACGAAGTTCGGCTCAACGAGCTTCGCGACGAGCGGCACCGCCGGCAGGAGGAGAAGCAGGCGCGCGACGAGGCCGTGCAGGTGGGGCGCTGCACCACGGACCCACGCGGGCCCGGCGGGGCCTCCCGTGGCCTCCCCGCGGGGCCCTCGGCGGACAAAACCTCGCTCCGGTCAAATCGCCCCGCCTCGTCGCATTGCTAGAGCCGGGCTTTTGTCCGCTTCTAGGCGATATAAGCCTCCCCGAACCGTCACCATCTCGCACGGTCTTGTGATCCAACGGTTCATCCGGGTCCCCCCCCCCCCCCCCCCCCCCCGATTTAATTGCTCCATCTCCGCGGAGGATCTACCATCGGACGTCTTTCCTTCCTTGGCTGCCGCTCTGTCCTTAGTCTCGGCCTCTAGCAATATTTTCTTCTCTGGACGAGTCGATGGTAACCTCAGGTCCGCCCCGCCACACCGTTCAACCCTGCGCGTGTGTGTCCATGCGCGCGTGTCTCAGCACGTATGTTTCACATGTCTTGCGGCAAGTTGCTAAAGCGCAGGGAGCTGGCGCATTGGAGCACAGGTGGTGCATTGGTCGGTCAACCCAGCACCTGGGTGTGTCCAGTGACATTCTACCGGAGCGAACCTCCGATGTTTCACGTGGCCTTACGGCGCACCTAGCCTGGCACAGCCGCCTTTGCCACGTCGCGTCGGCCCGCCGTAGCCGCCGTAGCCGCCGTTGCCGCCGTTGCGAGAGTGGTGCGTTTCCCCGCCGTGCGCGTCGCCGCTGCAGGAGCGTAAGCGGGCGCTGGAAGCGGAGCGGCTGGCGCGCGTGGAGGAGCTGCTGCTCAAGCGGCGGGAGCAGCAAGCGCGCATCGAGCAGCAGCGGCAGGAGAAGGAGCGGGCGCGTGAGGACGCGGCGAGGGAGAGAGCCAGGTGGGTGCGGCGATGTCACCGCGCTTCGCGGAGGATCGACGGAGGCTCGGGGGACCCGCGCGTCGGCTCACTCGCCCAGATATCCACTCGACGAACCCACTCGCTCATTCACTCGCCCGCTCGTACGTTCGCTCATTCACCTGTACGTGTTTTGGCTCATTCGCTCTCTCACACACTCAACCACTGAGATGCCCACCCAACTCGGCAGCCATCGACTCGCTCACACGGCAATCGATTTGCTCGCCGACCGGCTCGCCGACTGACTCGCGCAGAAACCCACGATCTCGGCAGGCCACGAAGTAACAGGAGACCATCATTGGAACCTCCTTTGCCAGTAGCAAAATATGATAATTGTTTTTTTACCCTTTTATCTGGCAACAAAACTGACAACTTTTTTTACGAGGAGTCATGTTTGCATTGACCACAATACCCGCGGTCGGAATGCAAACAAAAAACACAACTCTGATAATGTATGCACTGTCCTTGAAATTGATTGGCCCACACCCGAGACAGCTTTTCTTAGAGCCTAGTCTCACATGGTGTTGGACCAGATGACGCCAAAAGGCGCACAACTCAAAGACAATGCACCATCAGAGTAAGAGAGCTCGGGGTAAGCATTTACACCATTCCGACCGCAGGCATTGTGGTCAATGCAAACATGACTCCTTGTAAAAAAAGGTGTCAGTTTTGTTGCCAGATAAAAGGTTAAAAAAGCAATTATCATAAGAGGAGACCGTGAATGTGATTCACGTGCCCCGTTGGAGGCTGCCGCTGTCCCCGCGTTGCTCTGCAAGTGACCGCGACGCGTCCGTCCGCAGGGATCGCGAGGAGAGGCTGGCAGCTCTCAACGCTGCACAGCAGGAGGCCATGGAGGAGCTGCAGAAGAAGATCCAGCTGAAGGTATTTGACGAATCCTAGTTTAGCGAAACGGTCAATCTTATTGTAATATTATCCCCAATTGGCTCGATTTGGCATGAGACATCATCACCGTCGCGCCGCTGCTGCAGGAGCGAGAGAGCGCGCTCGTGATTTTTTGCCGACTTTTCCACCCCCCCCCCGTGTCTGCCCCCAGCACGATGAGAGTGTGCGGCGCCACATGGAGCAGATGGAGCAGCGCAAGGAGAAGGCGGCGGAGCTGAGCAGCGGGCGGCACGCCGCCGTCGACGTCCCGCCCAAGCTGACGCCCTACGAGCGCAAGAAGCAGTGCACGCTGTGCAGCGTCTGGGTCAGTGTGCGACGCTCGTCCACCCCGTGTCTCACCGCACGGTCCGCCAGCCTTGTGCGTGCGGCGGCCGTGTTTAAGAGAGGGGGCACGCAGATGCTCAGGGAGGCCACGACACGGTCGGTGCCAAGCGAGCGATGGACAAATGTGAAATGCTGAACGGAATGACGGGGGGGGGGCAGAGCTGTCGGCTATGGGGGCTTAGCCCCCTACAGCCGCTTCAATGCTGCACGGCTTCCACCCTCTACCCCCCACTCGCTCGCCCCACCAACCTCACCCCCCCCCCGCGTCTCTCACCCCACCAACCCCCCCCCCCCGCGTCTGTCACCCCACCAACCCCCTCCCCCCCGCGTCTCTCACCCCACCAACCTCACCCCCCCCACCCGTTTCTCACCACAACAACCTCACACCCCCCATTTCTCATCGTACCAGCCTCACCCCCCCCCCCGTCTCTCACCCCCCGCCCCCCCGCGTCGCTCACCCCACCAACCTCACCCCCCCCCCCCCCGCGTCTCTCACCCCACCAACTTCACCCCCCCCCCCCACCGTCTCTCACCCCACCAACCTCACCCCCCCCCCCCGTCTCTCACCCCACCAACCTCACCCCCCCCCCCCCGCGTCTCTCACCCCACCAACTTCACCCCCCCCCCCCACCGTCTCTCACCCCACCAACCTCACCCCCCCCCCCGTCTCTCACCCCACCAACCTCACCCCCCCCCCCGTCTCTCACCCCCCGCCCCCCCGCGTCTCTCACCCCACCAACCTCACCCCCCCCCCCCCCGTCTCTCACCCCCCGCCCCCCCGCGTCTCTCACCCCACCAACTTCACCCCCCCCCCCACCGTCTCTCACCCCACCAACCTCACCCCCCCCCCCCGTCTCTCACCCCACCAACCTCACCCCCCCCCCCGTCTCTCACCCCACCAACCTCACCCCCCCCCCCGTCTCTCACCCCACCAACCTCACCCCCCCCCCCCGTCTCTCACCCCACCAACCTCACCCCCCCCCCACCGTCTCTCACCCAACCAACCTTACCCCCCCCCCCCACCATCTCTCACCCCACCAACCTCACCCCCCCCCCCCCGTCTCTCACCCCCCGCGTCTCTCACCCCACCAACCTCACCCCCCGCCGCGTCTATCACCGCACCAACCTCACCCCTCCCTCCCGTGTCGCTCACCGCACCAACTCACGCCCCCACCGTCTCTCGCGTGTCCCGCCCCGCGTGGTCGGTGAATGAGAGTGTGCGACCCCTGGCTTGTGGTGGTTCGGATTGTGGTGGGGGGGCTGGGGATTGTTGATGAAGCTGACCATAGTCCACTCCCTTCGAGGTCTCTTCACTTTCACGGGACTCTCAAAGTGACCACGGCTCACTGCCGGAGAGATCTATTCAAGCGGTTTACATTTGGTCTCGGTGAGCGACCCGCTCATCAATGCGACCAAAGTTCACCCTTATAGAAGTCTGTCTGTTAAGGCGACCGTCAGTTTCATTGATGTGATGTTAATGCTTAATTGTGTGTGTGTAAACGCGTAAGCGTGTACGCATGCTTTGTTTATGTTTTGTTGATTGTGTTTGCGTGCGCGCACGTGTTAACACGCGCGCGTGCACGTATACTCATGTATTTGCGTGTGTCCGTTGTGCCGCCCCCCCCCCCACCACTTAGATTTTGTCGGAGGTGTACCTGTACAGCCACATCCGGGGTAAACGGCACGCGCAGGCCGTGCGCGAGCACAGCAGCATCACGGGCCGCGAGCTCTCCGACGAGGAAGTGGTGAGCATGCGCGTGTGTGTGCGTGCGTGCGTGCGTGCGCGTGTGTCCGTGCCACCCTTCACCGCCCTCACCTCCTCTCTCTCACAGCCACGTGGGAGGAAGGCTGCGCGATTCACGGTGAACAGTGCAAGATAGCCAGTACCACCGGATTCCCACGGTAGCTTTTACCGGGCCAAGCCAGCACTGCCCGGGCCGTTCGGCCCGTTTCTCAGTGAGCCATTTGGCTAACTTTTTTTAGTGAGCCAAACAAAGACAAAAATCCCCGTGTAGCCTTTAAAGGACGGTTGGGGCAAGTGCTGTCGGCGAGCATCTGTGAAGGCCGGCACGGCACACGACGGGGGTGGGTGGCCAGCACCACTCCAAGCCGCCTTTGTCGCCCCAGTGACGATGTTTACGCACCGAGCGACACCCACGCACAAATTGAGACGGTTATCATGTGGTTCTCAAGTGTTCACAGTTTATTACAATGTGAATCTCGTGTTCACAGTGTATGGGGGGGGTTCCCGGCCGACAAAGCACATGGGTGGTGGGTTTTGGTGGGTTGTCACACGAAGGCGACTGTCTCTCGCCATGAGAATGTGGAATTTCCACCACTGACTTTAGGGCCACCAACGGAGATGAGCACTGCTAGAGTTGCATTGCAGTTGTTATTGGCGCCAGGAAACTTCAGACGTTCCATCGGGAACTCGGGCAGCCGAAGAGTTCGCCGCCGGCTTGGGAAGATGACTTCACAGAACTTCTTCCGAGGTCACTTCAGTAAGATCTCTTTATCCACCCTCGGGGTACACTTTTTTATATTCCCTACTTAACCTTAAGCAAGGAGATGCTTTTGTCTTGAAGATGCTTCACATAATCGCCCGGGAGATGCACAGTCGGCGCAGACTGCCAGGGATGATTCTTGGGTGAGAATCTTTGAAGCTGACAAAAGAGAATGGAGCAACGGGTGGACACAACCCACAAAGACGCAGGGAGAGATGCAAGCTCAGGGCCTAGTAATGAGAGCCACAAACAAGAGACGTCATATACCCTTTGGTTCTTTCGGTAAAGTCCCGTTGGTATAAAATAAAATAAATCACGACGTTTCGGGGGCAACACAAGCGTCCATCACGTCGTGATTTATTTTATTTTCTACCCACGTGACTTTACCGAAAGAACCAAAGAGTGTGGATTCCTGCAGTCGCGAAAGCTTCACATCAAGATTAGACATCGTATTGACGACGAGCGAAAGCCGTAGCTTGTAAGGGAAGTCGGCCGACGGGACGGAGCGGCAGCAAAAGGAGAGAACGGCATCCCAAGAGGGCGACCCCCGTGGAGGAGGAGGCGAGCGCATTTCCTGTGCAGGAGTGAGATGGACGGTGGCGGCACCGCACAGTGAGGATTTCTATTATTTTTATCGCAAACAGTCCCCCGGGTTGCGAAAGGATCCGACTCACGGAAATCCGACCTCACGGAAATGCCCCCCACAAATCGTGTTCAGAAAATTCGATGCGCGGAAATGTTTGCGTTAGTTTACTTGAGCGCCAGGTAGTGCAGCTGCGGCGAGGTTGCTGATGAACAGCGTTGGTGAGAGGGGGTGAGGCGGGGCAGCCTTATGCCTCACTTGAGCTCCACGAGGATTAAGGCAAAATGGAATTCATCTTGATTTTGGGGGGGAAATTTGGGATTGTTCTCGGTAAACCCGGGAACTGTCCGTATTTTACTTTACCAGGTAAGGCTTCGCCGACTTGTATCGCTCTTTGTCAGAAGCGACCTGCCCACCGCAAATGAGAGCTCAACAAAGCGGCCTGTCGCGTTGGAAATGTATAGCAGCAAAATACTCGAAACGCCTGTTGCTTCTGAATGGCGACAGGGCATGGGGAGGCTCTCGCCCAGCAGTGGATAGACGATGCTTGCTGCTGATGATGATGATGAAAAGCAGCGACGACGCAGCGGGAGAGCAATGGGAGATTACAGGACGCACAGAAACACGGCAACTCGGCCCAAACTCCCACCCCCTTCCCCCCCATTTGTCTTCCTTCCCTCCCTCCCCACCGCCCCTCACAGCCCCAATGGCCCCCCACCCCCCACCGCCACACGGATTGGCCACCGGTGGCAGAATAATGAAGCAGAAAATGCGGCCTCAATGGGGCTTTGTTAGTGCTGTCATGTATGGCTGCAGTGTAATTGACAGACGGGGTGGGCTCCGCGTGGCTCGCGGACAGCACGCACCGTGCCTTCGCCTGCACTTGGACGCCCGCGCGTGTATGTGTGTGTGTGTGTTTGCGCGTGCCTGCGTGTGTGTGTGTGTGTTTGCGCGCGCCTGCGTGTGTGTGTGTTTGCGCGTGCCCGCGTGTGTGTGTTTGGTTGTGTCTGTAGGGAGCGGTAGTGTCGCGGTTAGCGCGCTGCGCTACGAACCCGGCGACCGAGTTCGATTCTCGCTCACGGCCCACACCGGTGATGATTATTTGAACCGGTCCCTGGGCCTCCCCTAGGTCGACTCAGCCTCAAATTAGTACCTGCTGCGGTGTGTAAGATATCGCCACTAGGGAGACAAAGGCGGCCGGGTGTAGTCTTGACCACCCACCCCCTCGTGTGCCGTTCCAGCCCTCATAGGTGTTCGTTAACAGCCCTTGCCCCAACAGTCTGTGTTGGCTATACGAGGGATTTTTGTCTTTTTGAGTGAGTGAGTGTGAGTGAACATGAGTGTGTATGCACGTGAGTGAACATGTGTTTTTGTGCTTGTCCATGCCCGAGTGTGGATTGTGATTGTGTGTGTGTGTGCGTGCGAGTGCGTCTGCGAGTGAATACGTGTGCCTGTCATGTGTGCGAGGGATGGTTTTTGTGCGCGCGGGTGCGTGAACGTGCAAGCGAGCGCGTGTAACGAGATGACTGTGAGTTGAGCACCACTCCCCGGTCACCGGCAATGAGATGCGGATAACGGAATTAAATGATCTCTTCCTGTGTGCATATAAACACAAATGATAGGTAGAACCGATCGGCAGATAGCCAAAGATCCGTGGATATTTAAAAACGTTTATAAATGAACAATTTTATTTTCCGAGAGACGCAATATCGTATCTGCGTCTGCGATGACACGTGCGCACACGCAACCGTGTCCCGACCCCACCCCACGCAGGAGCACCTGTCGCTGCGTAGGTACGTGGTGGAGGCGGCGTTGGACGCTCCCGACCCGGCCTGCCCGTCCGCCGAGAGGGTGCGCGACGAGGAGGAGAGGCTCAAGGCGAAGAAGAGGGCGAAGAAGTTGCGAGCGCGCATGAACAGCCGGTGGGTGAACGGGGGTGGTGGGTGAGTGGCTGAGCGTGGGTGGGTGAGCATGGTGGAGAGTGATTGGGTGAATGAGCATTGGTGATTGAGTGAGTGTGGGTGAGTGAGTGTGGTTGAGTGAGTGTGGGTGAGTGTGGGTGAGTGACTGAGCGTGGGTGGGTGGGTGAGTGAGCATGGTGGTGAGTGATTGAGTGAATGAGCATTGGTGATTGAGTGAGTAAGTGTGGGTGAGTGAGTGAGTGAGTGTGGGTGAGTGAGTGAGTGAGTGTGGGTGAGTGAGTGGGTGGGTGAGTGAGCATGGTGGTGAGTGATTGAGTGAATGAGCATTGGTGATTGAGTGAGTAAGTGTGGGTGAGTGAGTGAGTGAGTGTGGGTGAGTGAGTGAGTGTGGGTGAGTGAGTGGGTGGGTGAGTGAGCATGGTGGTGAGTGATTGGGTGAATGAGCATTGGTGATTGATTGAGTGAGTGTGGGTGAGTGAGTATGGGTGAGTGAGTGAGCATGGCGGTGAGTGATTGGGTGAATGAGCATTGGTGATTGATTGAGTGTGGGTGAGTGAGTGAGTGTGGGTGAGTGAGTGAGTGAGTGTGGGTGAGTGAGTGAGAGAGCATGGTGGTGAGTGATTGGGTGAATGAGCATTGGTGGGTGAGTGAGTGTGGGTGAGTGAGTGAGTGTGGGTGAGTGAGTGATTGAGCATGGTGGTGAGTGATTGGGTGAATGAGTATTGGTATTTGAGTGAGTGTGGGTGAGTGAGTGTGGTTGAGTGAGTGTGGGTGAGTGTGGGTGAGTGACTGAGCGTGGGTGGGTGGGTGAGTGAGCAGGGCAGTGAGTGAGTGAGTGAGCTGGGTAATGAGTGACTGAGCAGGGAGTTGGTGAGCGAGCAGGTTGGTGAATTAGCTCACAAAGTGGTGAGTGGGCTGGGTGGTGAGTCGGTGAGCGAGCAGAGGATCTGAGTGAGATAGTGAGCGGAGTAAGGGAGTCACTGTTGAGTTGCTCTTGCATTAAAGTGCCATATAAATGCAAAGATTATAATTCATAATATTACAATTCTTTTCTGCGAGCCTGCATTCCGAACTCCCAAGTTGCTTGCGCATATTAAAAATAACCGGAACCTTTGACCATTTCTATTCTGCTACGGAATGGAATAGGAACGTCGGTCGGAATAAGAACGTTGGTTGGAATAGGAATGTCGTCTATTGGAATAGGAACGTCATCTGTTGGAATAGGAACGTCCGTTGGAATAGGAACGTCGGTTGGAATAGGAATGTCGTCGATTGGAATAGGAACGCCTATTCTGGCCCGGCGGTGCCCTTGAACGTAAACACAGGAGAGACAAAGTCGGCCAGTCGCGTCGAGGAGCACGGCGCCAGCCGCCGCCGCCCTTGTTGTTTTCATGGGTGTTGTGGTGCGTGCGTCGTGTTGATTTGCGCCCCGTGGCCGCTGATTTATTTTCCGTTGCGCGTCGTTTATCTCCCCGTCGTTGTGACGCCACGGACCGCGAGCGCGCTCGCTTTCACCTCGCGGGGAGGGCAGGCGGCGGGCGCGTCCCCCGCTTAATCACACGGTTCGCGCCGCGAGCGAGAGAGACTTTACCGCCCGTCAGCGAGCAACGAAAACGGCGTGTCAAAACAACAGGACGTGAAAAACACTCGACACAGACGCAAATTACACGGACAAAACCAGCACCGCAATTGCTAATTTCTAATTCTGGAGGCGCAGCCTCTTTTAAATGTTCCTCGTTGGTGTCGTGCCGAACCCGAAGGGCGCTGCCGCGGCGGTGTGAAGGTCGCGGCGCACTGGACATGCATCGCAGAGGTCAACCGGTTCAATTGGGCTCACTCTCCTGCCCAACCCCCGACCCTCTGTCCACCCAGCAATGTGATTTGTTCACTGCAAGTTGTCGATCGGCATGTCGTTTGTGGTGGGGTACAGTCTGGGTACTTTCATCCTGTGTGGAAGAGTAGGCCAACATTCCCTGTCTAGAGGGGCTTTGCAGCGGAGGCCCTTCCAGCAGCAGTGGGGCGAGTCGATGAAACACTGCGGTGTTCACTGCACCGTCTTATTTAGTGAAATCTTATTCTTGGTTCTTTCGGTAAAGTCACGTAGAAGGGAAATAATAAAATTATATAAATATAAAATCCACACCTGATGATGATTGCTTGTGTTGCAGTCGAAACGTCGTGAGAATATTTATTGTTTTATATTTATATTATTTTATCATTTCCCTTCTATGTGACTTTACCGAAAGAACCAATAATATGAATCCCTGCGCTCACGAAAGCTTTAAATCAAAATTGCGAAATCTTGTGAAGCCATCGGTGGCCACGCAGCGGGCGTCAGCTCCCTCGACATTTGGAGAACCCGGTTTGATCACCGGCGGCTGCCTGGCGTTTACTCCGCAGGTTCTAAACGCTCTCAGCTCAGCCCTTTGACCCTCTGAGCCACCCCGGGCCCACCTAATCAATTAGGATTTTAATGTTTTTTCCAATTATGAGTTGAGAGCACGAACGAATGAATGAATGCCTCATCTCTTGTCTGTCAGTGAGAGGGAAGAGAGGGGGTCACGACAACTCTCATAAATTTCGATTTAAAGCTTTCGTGACTGCAGGGATTCATCTTCTTGGTTCTATCGGTAAAGTCACGTAGAATGGAAATAATAAAATAATAAAAATAAAACATAATAAAATAATTCTCACGACGTTTCGGCCACAACGCAAGCAGCTGTCCTCAGGTGAAGACCAGGTCGGTAGGGGAGACAGCGTCCGAATGAACACCACCACGCTTGGCAGCGTTTCGCAAACACGTCGCCGCTTTGCTATTAACGCCACCACTGCCTCATTCAGACGCTGTCTCCCCGACAGACCTGGTCTTCACCTGAGGACGGCTGCTTGTGTTGTGGCCGAAACGTCGTGAGAATAATTTTATTATGTTTTATTTTTATTATTTAATTATTTCCATTCTACGTGACTTTACCGAAAGAACCAAGAAGATGAACTCTCATAAAGATGACCCATGGAATACGCACGCAACTTTACTCTAAAGATGCCACATCGATCACGGGTTTTCCCCGTACGTGGGAGAACGAAAAAACAGCGCCAAAAGGATTCACAAAAAAGCACCACCTCGATTGAAGTGCCCGCCAACCCTTTGCCCCCACCCCCTTCCCTTTCTGATGACGTCATTGCTTGTGGCGTCATCTCACGACTTCCCAAGGAAGGCCGAAACGAGTCCCCGAGTCGTTCCTGTTCAAACAGTGCTGCTGGGTAACTTTTGATTGGAAATGTTTACGTTGAGATCATGGACGGGAGGCGGGAGGCGGTGCATTTAGTTTGCTGTTTGGAGCAATGTTATTTTTTGTGCCCATGTTGTAGAGGGAGTACGCTTACCAATAACGTGGTGAAGCCGCGGTATTTGTTAAGTACGCCAGACTCTGCCGATGAGAACGGTGAAACCAGCGCAGCGTTTGCACGTTAATACGAACGCCGCTGCTGAGCGTAGCTTTCATGCTGTGTATGTATGTTGAACTTCTTTCGCACCGTACTTAGCCAACCGTGCTAATCGGAGGTGCGGGGGGGAGGGGGAAGGACGACAAACGAAACACAAAAAATATAAAGAACTGCCGATATGTGGATTGCAAGTTCAGTGCCCTAACCATTGCAGCGTGGCAGCATCCCTCTGCAAACCAACAGCACCGTAGCTCAGCACCACCGCACGCCAGAGGTCGCAAATGGGTTTTGATTCCTTACCCGTACCCGTACCCGGTCGCAAAACGGGTACCCATACCCGTACCCGTACCCTACCCGAAATGAGTGACAAACAGTTACTCACCAGTGACTCACGGCCTACCCGTACCCGTACCCGGCCACACCAGGGTCGCAAACGGCTACCCGTACCCGTACCCCGCCGGGTACGGGTAGCCGGGTATCGGGTAGGCTACGGGTATCGGGTACCCGGTTGCGACCTCTGCCGCGCGCACGTGGCCTGTAGTCCAGCGATGCGGAGGTCAGTGTTGGTGGATCACGTTCAACGACGTATTTTGAATGGGAAGGCGGCAGAGGTGACGATGTTGCGGCCGGCGGTGGTTGGGACGAGTTTGCCAACCCGCATTCCCCCCCCCCCCCCTTCGACACACGGCCTGACTGACATTTTAAGTTTCGGACGAGGCCATTGTGAATCCACAGCGCATTTTATCCCCCGTCTTTCTCTCCGCGCACTCGCCACAACGGTGGAGAAAAGAAAAAAAGAAATGAATCGCGCGCGCACGTGAGCACGCTTTGAACGATTATCAATACACTCGGTGCGCGTGTGCATGCGTGTACGCGCGCACGCGTCTCTACGCGCGCGTTCAATGGGGCCCTGCGAGTGTTATTTAATTGTTTTTCGTTTTTTAACAAGCGCGGAGCGGCTTGTGCTCAAGAGGGTTTTTAAATGCGTGAAATCAAGGAGGCTAATTGTATGTTTGTGGGTGCTTTTGTTTGCTGACGAGAGCTGCTGCCACTGCCGCCGCCGGGTTAGGGTGTGGGTGGAGAGAGAGAGAGAGTTGGGGGGAGCTCTAGGCGGTGGTAGGGGGGTGGGGAGTCGCTCACAATCGCAGAGCTGGGGGTGGGGGTGGAGGACACATTCGTAGCTCCGTGGAGCTCCGTGGAGTGAGGCGCTTCGTGGAGGGGGGAGCTCTGTGGAGGGGGGAGCTCCGTTGAGGGGGGAGCTCTGTGGAGGGGGGAGCTCCGTTGAGGGGGGAGCTCCGTGGAGGGGAGCTCCGTGGAGCTCCATGGAGGGGGGAGCTCCGTGGAGGGGGGAGCTCCGTGGATGGGGGAGCTCCGTGGAGGGGGGAGCTCTGTGGAGGGGGGAGCTCCGTGGAGGGGAGCTCCGTGGAGCTCTGTGGAGGGAGGCGCTCCGTGGAGCTCTGTGGAGGGGAGCTCTGTGGAGGGGGGAGCTCCGCAGGGGGGGGAGCTCCGTGGAGGGGGGAGCTCCGCGGAGGAGGGAGCTCCGTGGAGGGGGGAGC